GTGAGTTTGATCCCTGGTACCCAAACAAACAAACAATGACCACCACGATGCAGGGAGAAGAGATCTTCCTGGCTGGGTGGTGAGGAAAGGCCATAGTTGAGAAATGTTAGGAGTTAGAGAAGAACAGGCTATCCGTCAGGCTCTATTTCTCTTTCAACACAATTCTTGATACCCACTGCTTGAGATTTTCTTGTCAAAAAAAGTCTAGTTTGGTCATAGAAGTAAAGTATATGCAAATTTTAAAATAAAAATGTAGACTTAATTCAAAAAAGTTGAATGAATGAATGGATGACTAACAAATGCCATGTTTAAATCACAGGTTGCATTCTGTGACTTAATTCGCAGGGACGTAAAGAATGTCACCAGACATTAAACCAGGTAAATAGGTATCAGTGATAATAGGAACAAGCAGACAAACGAACTACCAATTCCTCTCTCTTCTTCACTTCCCTTCTCTCATCAATTGATAGATGATTTTACTTCTCAGACATGTCTCAGCCCATCCCATGCTTCTCTGTATCTTATTTCAGGCAGTCATCATTCCCTATCTAGTTTCTCTGTTTGGCTCCACAAAATCCACCCCATGCTACCGTCAGAGTGAGTTACTCAAAAATATAAATGTGCTCCCGTGCCTTATCTGAAACCCGGCTTTGGCTCCCCAATGTCTGCAGGACGCAGAGCCACAGCTCAGCACAGCCTGCTTCCCCGTCTTCCTGCTTTTAGTTCCTCCCCTCCACAATGCAGTTTTCTCCTCTAGAGGTTTTGTCTTGTTTTCCTCTGTCTGGCATGCATCCAGACATCCTTGAAAATCAAGTTCTAGCATCCCTTCCCTCAAGAAATTCACTCTTAGCAGGCATGATGGCTCATGCCTGCAATCTCAGCACTCAGGAGGCTGAAGCAGAAGGATCACTGGCAAGTTTGAGACCAGCCTTGGTTACAAAGTGAGCTCAAGGCCACCCTGAACTGCACAGCAAGACCCTGACTCAAAAAGACCAAAAAAAAAAAAAAAAAAAAAAAATTCACCGGAATTCTCCCAGGCTGGGTATGCCTCTGCTACATGAATTTTCTACTAAAGCAGCCAGCACAAGGGCTCAACACCTGTCTTTCTCCAACAAGACAAGAATGAATCCCTGGACATCAGAAGTGTTAGCTTTTGTATCTCCAAGGTTTGCAAGTTTCTCGGTATGTAATAGATATTTTACTTTGGGATTTATTTTGTTTTTTTTTGTTTGTTCAAATGGACCAAAGCGTCCTACAGCTCAAAACCATTGCCAAAGCCAGGTGAGCTCACATCCTAATGGCTTGGAAGAAGAGCTAGGACACATATAAATCAGCCTGCATTAACCCTAATCAGTGCCTACAACTTTAAACCAAAACAATGCCAGATCCTAGAGAATGCAGTGGTTGCATACACAGGGACTTGTAGATTGATAACACTTGATTCACAAAGATGATTTCACAATTCTAATGAGGTGGATGCAAAAAGTCATGAATACATAGTGCTCTAAGCACTGGAAAACAGAAGAAAAGAGGAAGCGGTCAGCAGCCTCAGGTTAGGGGAAGCTGGCCTCCAGTGACAGCTCAAGGTTTTGTCATCCCTGTCCTACTCAACTTTAAAAAATCTCAGCCTGGTAGAGTAGTTCTGTGAGACAGGGGGAGATCAGACCCAAACACATTTTGAACCCTTACCTTGGAGCATCCTCCCTCTGCACTGAAGTGAGGAGACCTGGGGTTCCAAGATGAGACTGGAAAAGGGCCAGGGCGCTGCCTGGCTGCCCTAATTGCAGTCAGTTAGGTTTCTCTGCTCTAGGCAAAAAGCCGTAAAGAGTCCAGGATGCCATGATCCAGTGCAGATCAACTGAAGATAACCTCCCCAGGAACACGGTCCCATACTTTAACAAGAAACATGAAATACCGCTTGAATGCTATACATTAAGGACCTTGTGGGAAAAAATGGGGCATTTTCACACATGGGCCGCAAAAGTAATTATTCTAAAATAGAAGAGATACAGAAGTTAAGCGTATTTGCTTTGAATAAGAAATGGAAGTCTCTTTCAAAAGGATCATTATTCAAAGGCTGTTCTGTCTGATTAGGTGAAAGAAGTGTTTCTAAGCCTCCATGCTGTATTACCTCCTTCACTTATGATACACAAATCAGTAGCATTACATGCGAAGCTAAATTTAGCTGGTTTTAAAAAACGATTACAATTTGCAATTTCACAATCATGTTTTAATATATCAGGCCACTGGGGAAAGCAACAACTTGGAGAACGTATAACTCGTTCCAAATGACTGTCATAAAATTTGTAAAGTCAAAGTCATTTATGCAACTGTTAACAGCCTTAGTAAGTAGCTCCATTAAACATGATCTACAAACCTTCAAAAATACGGACCAACTTGTAACAGAAGGAATATTTGCACGGCCTAAATAGACAGAGGGAGCCAATCTTATTTTAATGAGATCAAAGCACGTTTAATAGTTATGATTAATATTTATTGAGTGCCCGCTGGTACACATTATTATACAATCAAACTTTAGATTTATATTATTTAATGACAGTAATTAGACACACATATCATGGGCAGGCTTTCTAAGTGTGAAGATAAAGATGACAGGTTATTTTAAAATGTTATACCTGCACATCATTTCTCATTCTGTCCCATTTTTAACTGTGCAATTTGGAGGCATAGGAAAAGATGATTTTTAAAAAGGAGATTAAAAAGATTGCCCTCCAAGTGCCAGGTCCTGTGTTGTGTGCAAAAGATATAGTGATGACTAGGACTTGGTTCCGATTCTTAAATTCATAGTCTAACAATGATGATATCCTGTATGTTGATCAAATTGTTGTTTGCATAAAGGCTCCAGGAATGTACAAAGTAGAGTTAAGGAATCTCCAGTCAGTGAGTTAAAAGACCTTCCAGGCTGTGGGGAGTTCAGGCAAGAACACCTGAACCGTGGAGTCTTAGAGACAAGGGCTAACTCTTATGCAGCTTTCAATTCCTAAGCCCCCTACAGGTCTCTCCTTCCTATTGGAACTTAATACATACATGAAGACTGTGTGCCTAGTCAATGAATGAATAAATTAGTGAATGAATGAACATCATATTTCTCTCATTGTATTCAGAGACAAATCTAGATATGTCTAGATGGCAGAGAGCAACAACAACAACAAATTTCTGAGAGTTTTTGAACTTTGAAAAATTTGCCCTTCTTGTTCATTATAGCCAGATAGGCGAAAATAGAGATAACCAAGCCCTAGGACCTATTTCTGTTTCAAACTGAGTTCAGGACCACCTGGACTATATAGTTAGTTCAAAGCCAGCCTGAACTATATAGTGAGACCCTGTCTCGAAAAGCCTACAGCACCCAGCATCTCCAGCTGGACAGTAGAAAACCCTCACCTGAAAGACAGATCCACAGAAGGCCAAGCAGTGGTGGAGAGTTTGCTTGGTACAAGAATGATTCACTGCCTCAGCTTCCAGGCAGGGCAAGATTGGAATTCCTATCTCAGAAAAAGAGAAAGCAGAAAGAGGACAGAAAATATTCCTTTTCTTCTGCCTCCAATTGGCCTCTCTCTGACACAAAGGGAAAGACTGTTCGTAAAGCATGCAACGCAGATTCTGCCTTAATGTCAGTTACTATGTTGTATACTTTTACTTGTCTTTTAGCAGCTCTTCGAATGGACTGTGCACTTACTCTAGTCACCAAGTGAGCCAACACTTTCCTCTTCTTTCTGTCGAGCATATTGGATGCTGCCTGCAGCCTACTCATGCTCACTGGCAAGCTCAATGGCCAGTGAATGACTGCTACTCTGTGGCACAAATGGGCACTTCTGCTCCCACCAATTATATTATAATTCCCAAAGTCAGCTGTGTTTCTTCCCAAGCCTGCTTATGCTGCTTACATAAATGCAATTAAATGTTTAGTGAACTCAGAAATATGATTGTTAAAAAAAGAGCTGCTGATTCCATGAAAACAAAGTGGGATGATTTAGAAGGAGTCAACAAAACTGAATTTTCCCCCATATAAAATAAGTCTGTCAAATGAAGAGTGCATCAAACACATGTAAAAGACTTGGTAGGGAAAGCGCTATTAAAATAGGAAATTCTCCGTGGATGTTGCTTCCAAGTGTGTTTATGTTTTTGGTTTAGGAAAACAAAAATGGGTGCAATAAAGGATGCAGTTTGGGTGTGGTCTATCCAGGAACAGGTGGTGCTCCAAATCAGAAGATCCGTACACAAAGACAATATGTGAGCTCACTTAGATATCATTTGTCATGGTTTCCTAACTTTCCAATTAACCATAAAGCATTGGTCTCTAGTTTACTGCACAAGACAGCTTCTGCTAAAGCTGTTTCATGTCCATTCAACATTTTCCTTTAGATTATTAGTACTGGTCCATCTCTCTACTCCTACAAACATACAAATTAGAGTGCAAAACACAAGACCAGAAGTCATAAAATGCAGGTTCGAACTCATCACCTGACTTAGGTCATAGAGGTCATCTTATCTCTTTGGGACAGTCTAGTTTCCTCTAAAGTGTGTATATCAGGAATAGGGATGGGGAATGGGTGGAGATGACAAAAAGTTAGGCCTAATATATTTTCAGATCTCTTCTGATTCTCTAAGAGCCATTCTATATAATTGGGCTCATTTAACATAGATAGGGCTCCTTAATATATTCATTAGTACTTAGGGATACAATAGATAAGCTATTTAAAAAGAATAGGGGCTGGGGATTTAGCTCAGTGGCATAAGTGCCTGCCTTGCAAGTGTGCAGTTGTGAGTTCGATCCCCAGTACTGATTTAAAAAAAAAGAATATATAAAATGCCAAAAGTAAATTTACTTGAGAAAAATAAAATCCTTCAGAAATTTAAATTTTTTAAAAAGAAGAAAATATGAAATTAATCATGTTTAATGATTGAAATAAGATTTAAATTATCAAAATGAAACTAGTATTTTGAGAATGAGAAAAGATTTATGTTTCTAACCATCTATATTTTCTACAAAAAGTTCTGGAAGGAACATTAATTCACAGTTTCAAAGTAGGTTACAGAAAGTTGCAGTTCTGCAAAGAGTGTATACACACACACACACACAAAAAAAAAAAACTCTAAATAATTTCCAGTATCAATTTTAACTATACCAGTACAGAACAAAAACAATCATTGATTACAAGAAAATGAGCTACTCAGGGAAAAAAAAAATGCCAACTTCTTAAAACCTTAGTTCTATAACACAATTAAAATAAAGTTAAACCCAAGACTCAGTTACAGTCACTTCTGAATTGCTTTCCTAGTAATGTGGCTTGTCAAAAATGTTTCTAAATAAAGAGAAAATTACTGATGCACATTGCCTAACACATTATTTAGAAGTTCATTTCACTTTGATTATTTATTAAAATAGTACCACAAAGATTATGTAAATTAGACCCAGACAAAAACAAGAGATTTACATCTTAATACACACAATCTTTTAAGATAACCATTTGTGAGCGGGGAAAGTAACACAAGTGTCATATTCAGTTTATTCGCTGCTTGGGAGTCTACATCAATTTCAAGTTTTCTTTTACGATTCAGTTATTCCAAGAGTTCCAAGAGTCTGAAAATATTTCATTAAAAATTAATGTGTTATCCACACAAATGGCAAATATTGAAAACTAGGAATATAAATAAAAAATAATAAAAATAGTAAGTCTACTAATACTGAAGAGGAAGGAAGACAGGAGGGGAGGAGAGCATGTGAAAGAGAGAGCGATTTTAAACATCCGGTTTCTATTCTGGACCGTTTGTGGAAACAGACAGACACAGCCAGCGGAAGCCAAATATATTCTCGGGCTCTGACAGGATTTGTTTTCTATCTTGTCATTATTTTTACTGTATTCTTCCTAATAATATTTCTCCAACGTTCTCGATTTCCTGACCAACAACACCGGTCTCCTTGGGAGCTTACAAATGAGGACTGTGGAAGACTCAGGTATGTTCCAGGAGTCCAGCTGTCTTGCAAGGACTTGATGGACCTGAAGTTTTCCTGGGAACTTTGCAGCACAAAGCCATGCAGTCATGGAAACTTCATCCAATGCATCCCTTTCCAAGTCCCTTTGAATGATTTTCTTAGGACCTGACATGCAAGCCCCGGCAGAGCAATAGGTACCTGGTCTGTTACAAAAAGGTAAAGCCGAAAAAATGATGCCATTTCACTAATGCTGGCATAAAGGAAACAAATCTATTTTGCTTACCCTTTTTATAGGAATTATGCCATATTAAGCAGCAAACAAGTACCACCTTATTCTTTCTCGACCCTTGCAATTTAAATGCCAGTGAGAGAGAGGCACATTGCTTATCAAACACGCGGCACGGACCTGGTCCTCTGTTAAAATTAAATACAATAGAGCTGCTCTACAAAAAAGATAATGAGGGAACTATTTTGAAAATATGAAGGAATTGTTGATGCAGACTATAAAAACACCCCTTTGCATCAAAATAAGTGTCCCCCTTTATTGCACACTGATTATTTTCTATAGAATTTAAATTGTACATAAAATTATAAGTGTGCCTTGTTTAATGTAAATTGATTGTCTCAATTATTGGGAAAGGATTTGAATTTTAATGGACTATTTCCTGGAGCTATGCCAAGCAAATCAGCAAAACTCTAATAGCTCCAACTGGAGGTACAACAGCCAAACATTTACATAAATCACACAGGCGATATGGTCCTAAGAATGATTCTAAAGTGTTCTAAAAAAGGTTAATAGGCTTTTCACCAAGTAGAAGAAATTAACTTTAACTTTCTACATAAGAAGATTCTGCGGTTGTGAGATTCTAGTTGGGGTTTTCTTTGAAAAAATGGCAAGACCAAACACATTAGTAAAAAGGACTTTTGTGGATCTGCTTGTTTTTCTAATGCTCTCTCTTTCTACAGATCAGGTTATCTATGGAAAGCAGGGCTTAACCCTGAAGGTAAAACCAACATGCGATCCACTAGTACCGTGACACTCTTGAATGCCTCACTTGAATGTCTAAGGGAAGGCTACTTCAGAAAGTTGGTTAGACATATCCCGGCCACATGCCACAGAGTTACACTTGACATAGCTCTTTTGTATAAATCCAGCACCTTTGATGTCAAACACATTTCCTCTATACTTTTAATCACAGGGAGAGGCAGACCCAGCCATTTGCTACCCAGATGGTTGTGACATTTTTATAGTGAAATTATAACCAGAGAAGCCAAAGGTATAGATCCACATCTGCCTAAAATTGTCAGCCTCCAAAGGTCTTGTCACAAACTTTCTGCATCAGGAAACACTGTTAATATAGGTATAAAAATCACCCTGATACAATGCATAAACCATTGACGACACAAATTCACGTCTCAGCTATTGGTCACTGTAGATTTACCTTAATTGTAGTTAATTTGAGGTATTTTAGGAAATGAAAACATAAGATGTAATAATTTCAGTCTTGAAAGACTCTTTTTGCCAGGGAATATTGGCAGTATTAATCTAAATATACACATAGGGATTATGTATAGAGAATAACTTAAGATTTGGGCCAGAGAGTAAATATTTCTCTGTGATTCATCAAAAAAGTCTTGGATGGATTTCTATAATGATAAAGACTGAAGCTGAATATAAGGCATTTATTTCTATACCAAAGTTTAGAAATTCTAGTGAGAGCCATAAATTATTAGCAATGACAGTTATGATCGATTTCTTCCTAAGTGCTGATCTGGCTTGCATAAAACAACCTCGTTTTAAGAAAGCCCAAAGACTAAATGATATATTTATATTTTAAAAAGACTCACATGTTTTTGGCAACTAGCTGGTTGATTATGATTTCATATTTCATAATTAGTAAGAATTAGTTTTGGATACAAGCCTAACTGTGAATTTTAATAACATGCCACTTCCAACACACCATTTCACTGTACAGGAATATGAAATCTGATTACAGGTTTCATTCTGCAAATGAAGTGGTTATTCTAGAAATGAAGAACCAAAGCAACAGAACCACGAAAAGAGAGGAGGAAAACAATGTGAGAGAGTGAGACAAAGAAGGGGCAGATGAAGAAATCAGATAAATCATGCTATTTGATGAGAAAATACCTCAGAAAGATGAGCAGCACATTTAGCTGTTCAAATGCCCATCTGTCCATTCGTCCTCCCGTACCCCACTTGCAGAGGGGGGACAAGCCTCAATTAGCAGCCAGAGTCAGCAATAAGACGCTAGATGGATGTCTACTTTCTTCTAGGGATACATTTGCCTAGCAGGTAAACACTGAAATTGACATTTAATGGAAAAGAGTGTCTCAAAAGTTACTTTAATGCTGCTCTTCGATATTTATACAGAATGTCTTTGAAGTACCTCCTTTTGGATAAGGAGACAGTGAGTCTGCCTGTGTTCATATCCAAAAAACAAACAAAAAAACTGTTTTGTAGAATATAGCTATTTAAAAACCAATTTCTAGAAAACAAAGGCCCTGAAAGTATGACTAATATCATCAAGGCGTGGCCACCAAAACCAAACATTTTCTCTGATCTGTTAAACATCCATCACTAGCAGGCTGCATGTCATACATGGTCAAAACAATGCATGACTGTGCTTTTTTCTTTCCCAAATATATACATTCAACTAAACAAAGGAAGACACTTTGAAAACGCACAAAAGACTTCTCTTTCCTCATGTAATCTCAGAAGTTACAGCATTTACAATTAGCAGAGAAATGAAAAAACATAGCATGCCTCAAAGCCATGAACTCAGGACATTTAAGCGAGGCTCGATTTCACTCTTCTGGGACCCTCAAAGGGTCAGTGCTAACAGTGCAGTGGTGCTGCCATGGCTACCAGTCCACCTGGGGGCCTTCCAGCCAGGCCAGGGACGTGGGCAGTTCTTCCTGGAGCCGGCCCAGTGCTCTCTGACAGGCACATACTGCACGCCTACCCAAGACAGGGGCAAAGAGTCCACTGCGGAACAAAACTTCACACTGGTGGTCTAAGATGACTTCCTGAGAAAAATAAGGCTTATGTGTCCTATCAGAGGAGCTTATTTGGTTTTACAGGAAGGCTTGCCATTTTGTGTTTTTCTTTTCCTTTGGTGTATTTCTGGGTGACTAGTGAGTGAGATGCTATTAAGCTGGAACTGCGAATGAAACCCAAGAACATACTATTTTGTTTCACAAAAGCACACCTGCTTTGGGCATGTTGCACAGACTCCGAGGCTCACTTAAGCCCATGACAACCTACTCAGGTAGCACTGCTCTTTTCTGCCTTTCCACACCAGGCGGCCTACTCATGAGAAGGTGAAGCAACTCACCCAAGGTCAACAGCAGGTACAGTGTGAGGCTGGAGCAAACTCAGGCAGAAAATCTCCAGAAACCGCCTGTTCTTAACCACTGGCACCACACGCTCCAGTAGTAGTTAAAGTCTTTCTAAAACCTCATTTAGTCTTGCTGTAACCGGGGGGATCACTAAGGCACGTTCATCTGAAACACCCCAGCTGAGAGTTTGACTCCTGTTGTAACAAGATCGCTAGCCAGTTGGAGTGGGAAAATCTGTCGGGGAGCATTGTGGGCAGGGACTCTGGGGACCTCGAGTCCAGGCCTAGGTCAGAAGCTGGCTTACTGGGGAAGCTGGGACAGGCACCATAGGACAGTGTTTAGAAGCGTGGGTTCTGGTAGCAGACAGCCCTGCATTCCTACACCTGCAGTGTCACATATTAAGCTATGTGTGAGTCACATAGCCTCTGGGAGTGTCAGCTCTGAACAAGGAAGACAGTGCTATCACCCCAGTAGAACTGCTCTGAGGATCATACTTAAAATTGCTTAACTGGTACAGATTTTTCACTAATAAAAATATTAATCTATGTTAGAGAGAAACACTGAGATTCCATGATGAGAGTCTATGACTCTTAGCTGAATATGACACTATTGTATTGGGTTTATTTGGCACTTATATTTTTCAAAACCTTTCATGCACGTGGTCTGGTTTGACCCTCATAACTATTTGTCATAGTATTTAATCGTTATTTTATTTGAGGCTGAACATTTATCTGACCTGTCCAAGATCATACGGTTAGCATACATTCAGAGCTTTTGCCTCCTTATCTAAGATTCTTTCTTGTTATAACTTGCTATGTTTTCATGAAAGATGTAATACTTCCTTGTAATACCTTCTAATTTAAATGAAGTAAAATGACATAAAAAATAGAAATAAATATTAATCACTCTGAGAGCCTGGATAAAATGGAAAAGATGCCTCTGGAAAGGGTTGGTTGGGCAGCTCGTACCACAGTGAAATCTTTTCAAAGACTCTAGTGCTCAGGCTTGCTTATAGGTGAGAGGTCAGAGTAGACTCCAGAAGAAGAAGGAAGAAAACAAAATAGACATTAAAATAGACACATTTAGCCTTTCAGGGGGAGAACCACCAGCAGCTCCTGAGATCTGTGCCATGTTGGAACTTAGGATGCTGGGAAGCCAAGCAAGCAACTCCCCTCCCTGGTAAGTGGCTGTGGTGTGGCAGACTACGGCCCCTCCAGCGGGAGAATCACCAGTGTCTTCTGAAATCCACCATGTTGGAACTTATGAAGCTGGGAAACCAAGCAACCAGCCTGCCTCCCTGCTAAGCAATAGTGAACCTACTGGTGCACGGCCTAGAGTCAAAATCCCACTTCCTCTATTCCCCTTCTCCTGTCCCCCCGTTAGCAAATGGGAACCAGAAATCTGAGCATCTCCTGGGAGGTTGACCATAGCAAATACGGAGGATTTCCTTCTACCATTTCTTTGAAGACAAATATTTTTATTACTGTTTTGCTTTATTCTGATTCATGGTACTGCTCTATTCAATATTCTATTTTGATAAGTTCTATAATGTTCTGTATTTCATTTTATTTCGATATACATGATTGAAAGAACAACTATTGTGAAGATAACAAAACATATTGTGATACCTATTACTGTAATCCCAGTAACCTGCTGTGAAGTTCTGTACCTATTTCACTGTACGATCTTAGTTGGCTTTATTCTGTCTTGTTCTGTTGTATTTTACTACTTTAAAAATAAAATAAAATAAAACAAATAGACACATTTAGAGGAATGCTCATAACTACTGAAGGGTAATCAGTAGACCTACATGACTAGAGAAGCAAAGCTATCTAGAGGATAA